AAAAATATGAAGAAGGATAGTGTAAGATCACTAAAATTACAGCAAATAACTTAACAATAGATATTTAAAATGAAAACATAAAATCTATATTTGAATTTTATTTCATTAGTTTATTTTACAGGGACAGTGCTCATTGATCAACAGAGAAAAAAGAAAACACAATTAGACTAAAAGGTTTTCATCTGTCGTCCCTGGCCGGATGTTAAAGAGGCACCCTGAAACAACGCATCCAAACAAATACATCTTTTGCTCATTTTGTAGCTTGGGACAAAGATGGGAGGTCTTGGCACTTAACATGTTATACTGGTGATATCAGCTGCACAGAGGACATCACATCAGTGGGAAAACCTAAGAGGGATTGTTGTTATGTGAGATATCACAGAAATCAAGGCAAACAAGTCTGAAATTGGTTTACATTTTTTATGCATCAAGTGATAGATGCACTTATTTCTGTTGTAGTGATTTCACGCTGTGTAAATGTCACTGCCAGAGAGGAGACGGTGTAGTAATGATAGAACAAGGGAAAAGCTTTTCATCACCACATCTTTTGTCTTTGCAGAATGCTGTTTACAAAGGGGAATATACAGCCACTCATCCAACAGTCAGATTGTTCTGGGAGGTTTTCCACGAGTTCCCTCTGGAGAAGAAGAAGCAGTTCTTATGTAAGCATTTAATTGCCTCATTGCTCAGTCTGCATGACAGTTTAATTCACACGCTCTCACCGTTAAACATCTTATAAAGACTGTAATAATGTGGAGATTGTTCCTGCATGAGAATATACTGTAATACACTGTCAGCACACGCTGCCTGAATATGTTGACAATAATCTCAAGAGCTTTATATCATTATTATTCACATGAGATTCTATAGACTTGTGTGAAGGACAAAAGGACAGAGGATTCAGGGACTTTCCTGCATTGATTTTCCAACATTTTGAATGTTTGAATGTTTTTTCAACATGTTGATCCGCCATTGTGTTGGCGAGGATCTGGCGGTACGATACGTATCACAATACAGGGTTATGATTCAATATATTGAGATACTGTAAGGTAGGCCGTATATTGTGATTTTTTTTTTTTTTTTAATCCATGTCATAAAGAAGACACCATATGAAACAAATCTGAGTTAAAACAGTTTACCTTTTTTATGCAACCGGAACAGAGAGAACTGCATTTGTATTTATCACAGTCGCTGTAACATCATAGTGCTCGAGTTACAACACTGCTGTCTAGAGGTTATGTGGGGTTTAAACAAAAATTGAAGCGAGGGAGTTGCAATGTGCAGCTACACCGCTAGATGTCACTGAATCCTATGCACCGGCCCTTTAAAACTCTCAAATATTTGTATTGATATTGGCCTGGGAAAAAAGTCTTGTATCAGTTTTATTTCAAAGAGGCTGAAGAAGTAGAGCGGGTCGTTTATTAATCACAGGGATAGAGGTTCGATCCCTAGATAGTTCCTCTTGTCTACATATCGAAGTGTCCTTGGACAAGAACCCCAAATATAATTTACAGTGTAATAATATAATACAAATGCATCCATTTACCGTGTAAACAGTGGAGCGTAGGAGCATTTACACACTTCTCCAGTAGTTGATTCTATCTCCTCCGTCCTGTATCTCCTGCCTGCAGTGTTCCTGACCGGCAGCGACCGGATCCCCATCCACGGCATGGAGAGCATGCGCATCGTCATCCAGTCCACCACAGCGGAGGAGCACTACCTGCCGGTGGCCCACACCTGCTACAACCTGCTCGACATGCCCCGCTACCAGACCAAAGAGATCCTGCGCCGCCGCCTCACACAGGCTGTGGAGCAGTACGAGGGCTTCAGCCTGGTCTGAGGACGGGAGATCTGCAGCAGTCTTAATGCACTTTAACAGCAATACACCACCATGTCAGTGTCAAAAAGAGTGTAATGGGGGACCTCGGGACACAGAAAGGAAACTCTCTTTATATGCTCTTACAAGATTGTTAAGCGTCTTGAACCTGAAAGGTCTATGTATGTAAATGCAGAGTATTATTGTTTTTATTGGTTTGAGCAAAGTTTCTCAACCTTTTAAGGACAATTTGGAAGATATTTTAAAGGCCGCTGTGAAATGTTTAATTGAAATATATATGACATTCCTGAAATTAAAAAAGAAAAAGAATACAGAAAAATGACTTATATTCACATGACAACCTGGGATCAAAACTAATTTGGGACCTGAAATCGAAGACGAGTGAAGGTTGAGAAACACTTTTGGTGTTTGCATAGTTTTAGTTTTCACTTTTCTTTGCACAGCTGTGTGTTTTATATTCAACTCCTTAAATTCTATTTTTCACCTTTAAATAATTATGTTCTTATATTGAGACAATATATCTGCTTTTTGTTACTTTTCATTTGTTAAATAGAGTGGTTATTTTTCGACAAAAATAAAAAATGTGTATATATGTATGTAAATAGCACTTTGAATATAATCTTTACCCCTGATATCGGGAGGAGTGTTCGCCGCTGATCCTTTTAAATCTGGACACCAGCATGTCCTCTCTGCCTGAAACTAAAGAATGACAATGGGAGAGTATCCAGCAGGCAGAAGGCTGCATGGTGAATATCATTTGCAATCCTTTGTTTTTTTTCCTTTTGAGCTGTGGACCACAGAGCAGCTGACTTTGTCTTGAACCTGCATTCAACAGTGTTGCCTTCTACAGCAAACCCTACATGAAAAGCTGACTTTAAAAGTTGATTTTTAGTGGTTGTTGTCTGTGTGCATGTTCTTGAGTGAAAGCAAAAAAAACAACAAAAAAACTTGATTGTCATTTAAAAGTTTCACATTTTGGAAAATGGCTTATTAGCTTTGTGGCGGAGAGTTAGATGAGAAGATTCACTTTTATATAGAAAAGGTGGAAACAATTAGCAGCCGGTTACCTGAGCTCTGCACAAAGACTAACAAAACCCACGTACCAGCACTATTAAAGCTCTCTAGTTAAAAATGTTATATCTTGTTTGTTTAATTTGTAAAAAATTATAATTCGCCATTTTACAGAGAGTGCTCGACTATTTCTTGGCTGGGACGGGTGTTATACCGTATTTTGTATTCCCATAAGATTCTGGTAAAGGAAGGGAATTTTGGCTAGGTCACCGCAAACGTTTATTGATTTATTTATTATTTATTGCCTACCTTATTTTGATAGCTGTTACCTAACATGGTGCCACACCACCATAGTATAAGAAGGTCACACAATACAGCATAATTCTGGTTGCCTGGGAAGTGCTAAGAGCCAAGAATAACTAACACATAACCCCCGTCTAACACCACAAATTGTTGTTTTTACACTTTTTTGTCCCGAATAAACAAATGAGATACAACATGCTAATTAGTTAGCTTTAAAGTTGCTGGTTGGAAGACTTTGGAGCTGCCGTTTTCTCCTATTTCCAGTCTTTATTGCTAGGCTAAGCTAACCTGCTGCTGGCTGTGGCCTCATATAACGGGGCTAACGCTATGCTAACTCTCCACCACAAAGGGAGTATGCCAACGTTCCCCAAATGTCCTATAAAACGTAATATATAATCATTAAAAAATTTGTAATTGTAATTAGCTGTTTCCAAGTTGCAGATACTTAAATTGTGACATTTGTGGCAGGACAACACAATAAGTGCGTATTTAACAGTGTGAGCAGATGACTTATTAAATACTCTGAATATAAACTCAGTTGATAAACTGTATCTATCATATGACTTGTTCCAAAACTTGCCCTGCTGCTGTATACAGTCAAACCTCTTAATCCAAAATGTTTAATTAGGTTGTGCATTGGCGTGAAGTGTGTGAAATGGTCTTGCATATATATATATATATATAATATATATATATTTTTATATATTTCATACACAGTGGTGTCCAAGTGACTTCAAACCGTAAATGATTTGATGTGTCCTGACTAATAGGTCACACTGACACATCCATTTAGCAATAACAAGCTGAAACAGCCCAGTAATGTACTAGTGATAACTCTGGGTTACTCTTCTAAAGGTCTTAAACACTGGACTCTTCTGAGATGTTTCTTAGGACGGTTCATCCTCTTGCTTAGCTCTATACTGCATGTACACACACGTTCTACATGTCCAGTCAATATTTGTTTAATTTAAAGCTGATTCCTCCTGCAGAGTTTAGTCCTATGCAAAGGTTTGTGCAGCCCTAGACTTTTTTGCACCTTTTAATGTGCTACTGAAAATGTGATTTTTGCATATTTGACTGAAATCTACACAAAGCTCTCTGTTCCAGCCAACTTTTTAAATAAAACAATACAGTGTAAAAGCACATCTCCTGCATGTTTCATGATTGCATTATTAGACAGAAATATTTTCAACATTTTGCAGCTGTGGCTCAGGATGAATGTTTGAGCCAAATACACCTCTGTACATGGTGGCTGCTATCAGTGTGTTTGTGGGTAAATAAAAGGCGCTTTTTTTATTCTACTGAAGCTTATATAAGTTTAAAAACAGCAACAAGGTCTACTCAAGGTATTTGTCTGTCTGAGTTTAATTTTTTTTTTTCTTTGGCAGCTGATCCCTCGAATGTAAAACAGTCCAAATGATGCGTGTATGCAGATGCATGTGTGCACACATCCCTGAGTTCCTGGACCTTTTTGAAATTATTCGTAGTCAATAAAATGTGCTTCAGTTCAAGTGATGCAAACACTGCATGACTACACTGTTGGATGTTTATGCAGACTGCAGATCAGTTGCATAACATTCTCACTGCTTCATGTTTCTGCGAGAACTTTAGTTTCATTTTGCTGCAGAATTAACTCTTGATATTATCTACCATCAACAGCAATGTAAACATGCCATCATATGTCGACTGTCTCTGAGGCTCATGTTTTCATCGTTTCTGCAGAATTTAACAACCCAAAAAGAAGAAATGAATCCAAACATTGTGCTTTTTTTTTTCTGGCTCTAAACCATGTCCACATATAAACAGTATTACAATTAGTTGATTAATGGATCCACAGAAAATTAACCTGTGACATGTTTTTATAATTGACTGTTTAAATAATGTTTTAAGTAAAATTTTAGCACCTACAATTACACGATTTCCTGCTTTTATATCATTGTAAACTGAATATCTTTAGGATTTGGACTATAACTTGGACAAATTAATATGACGATGCCAGGAGACATTTTATAGACCAAACTATAGGTTGGTCAATCAATCAAATAACTGGCAGATTAATAATGAAATAAATTGTTATTTGCAGCCCTAAAACTTAAACCTTAAACGCTTAAACCTTAAACAGTTATGTAGTGTAATGATGCAGATGAAGTTTGACACAAAGGAAAATCCACACAGCCCAGAATTTCAGTAAAAATATGATTTCATTCATATTATATACAAAATACAAATACAATTTATGTACTAAAATGTACACACTCAAAATTCATTAAGCCTCGCCAGTGTTTACATTCAGTAAAACGAAATTCACACTGATAATCATCCATTTTGGAGAAAGAAAGGAAAAATGTACTCGCTCACAGAAATGTAAACATACACAGTGATCCAATATGTACAAAAGAACAAAAAACGAGCTCTGGAGAGAATGAGAGGGAAACAAAGACTGCTGGGAAAACAAGCTTTTAGCGTCATTTCTGTCCTCCAGAGTCGTCTCACAAAACGTCCTTGTCGATGTTCATCATCGTGAGCAAAAAGATACCAGTGATTCCAAGACGAGGAATAGCTTATTTGACATTAAGTAAATGGGAGGAGGGGGAAAAGCACGTCAATGCATAAAATATACAGTGAGATGCTTAAGAAAGTACCAGTGATCACAAAAATAAGCTGTTTTGTTGAATATGAGCTATTTTGGTTCGCAGTTTGTACTCTGAGTCACTGTCTTTGGGTTGTATTACAATTCAAAACCACTTCTTTTAGTGAGCAAATACTCGATTTAACTTCTAGAGAAGCAACATAAGATTATTTCAGACATTATATGATAGTTAGAACTGAAATAGAGAAAGCTATTCATTTAGTGAATACTGTTAAGCTAATTAAAGTTACACAAACAGTAACGTCTCCCTTAAAAAAATACACAAACATTTTGATCGCAAAATCCTTCTTTTAAAAATAGCAATAATTTCATATCTATTATTTTTTACTTACATTGTTTTTTTTTTAAGACTTCTACAGTAAAGCGTGAGAAAAAAAATAACTTCTCCGTTCCAATAAAAACATTCAAAAAGATAGAAATAAATTATTAGCAATAAAAGTGTGATTCAGGTTATTTGTGTGCGTCTTGCTTAGTCATTGGGAAAAATAACTGTCCTCTTGTGAATGTGAGGTTTGGTTGGAGATGCACTTCTCAGGTGAAGCAGTTGACTTTGTGTCGCTTTGAATCAGTCGCAGGTCGGCAGATCTCTGCAGGCTTCCAGAGGGGAAAAACCCCCCCCGCTGTGGTCGAAGGAGCGGATTAACCACCCGTTTTTCCCTACGAGTCAGAAGCCGTGAGCGGCACAGACGGCAGCGAGAAGGAAAATCAGATCTTTTCACCAGCAGGGTGAGATGTGTTTGACTGTATCTCTAGAGACTAAGCATCGGTCCTTTTTTTTTTTAGAGTCTTTTATTTGTTCTCAGATGAACTTTGTCGACTCTCTTTTGCTGATGAGGACTTCCAGCAGCCGCAGTTTGGCTTTAACGTGCTTGTATTCGTTGTACTCCACTGCCAACGGGGAGCGGTCCTCTTTCTGCACATTTCTATGGGAACAAGACAACAAACATTAAGAAACGGACGACGGTTCAGCAGTGGAAAACCCACGATGTGAATGTCTGTTCATTTTGTCCACTCTCTTATGTAATCTGAGCAAATTCCTCTTCTTCTTACCTTCCATTTTGTCTAAAAAACTGGTCCTCGAACTCTTTCAGGTTCTTGCGGAGTGTCTTCTTCTCTTCACGGGCCTCTTGGAGCTGCTCCACAAGTTCCTGCCTGTAAGAGAAAACAGTAGAAATATTTTAGTATCTCACACTGGAATATGTTGAAGGCTTCTTATGCAGTGGTGGAAGAAGTACAACAATATAAAAATACTTCATGTTCACCACAAAGAAAAACTCTGCATTTAAACTCAAACTTTATCCTACTTGGAACAGGGTTTTTGCAGGTTTCAACAAGTTAAATTTAAGACTTTTTGTAGTTGGTATAGTTGTTTTTTCCCCCAAAAAACATTTAAAAGTGAGACTGAAAAATGCAACGTTATTAACCCAATAAATACCTAAATTATTAAACCAAAAATCAATGTCAAAATTACATTATAAGACATTTTTAGGCCTAAAATTCAGATAATTGGATTTGAGATTTTTTAAGGCAGACAGCATTAAACTGAAAAAAAATGTTAACCCCCCAAAAAATATAAATATAAATATATATTTATATATAATCGGTGTTTCACTCTTGTAGCTGCTGATTTTGGGGGATTTTCCTATAAACTTTGCTTTTTGTGAAATATGGGACCTTGATAATTTAAATGAAACTGAAGTTGAAAGGAGAAATCAAAAAAATTAAACTATCTGAAATGTAGAGAGGTAGAAGTATAAAGTAGCATAAAATGGAAATACTCCAGTAAAGTACCTCAAAACTGTACTTGTGTAAATGTACTTTGTTACTTTCCACCACTGTTACTGTGTGAGGGCAGTCTTGGTTGTCGTGACTTACGTGGTGGCGGAATGCAGGTTGGACAGCCTCATGTCTGTCGTGTTCTTAGAGGGTGAGAGTTCGTCCACGGGCGAAATGAAACCGTCCGCTTCCTCGTCCATGTGGTCCAGGAAGCTGAGCACGCTGACGTCGGGCCGGACGGTCACAGTGAACTGCGTCTTCACTGAGTCTCCGTCGTCCTCCGAGCCGTCCTCTTCCTCCTGCAGGGGCATAAAGAGGTCAAGTGGTGGCCGAAAGGTGGAAGCAGCCACATCGTGCTGTGGCGTTAAAACCATCCAGGCTTCCAGGCTCAAACACTGCAGTGCGTGGAGATCGTGCAGTGTTAGTCATCAATGGTTATAAATCGTCATGGTGCAGCGGCACAATGCACTTCCATCGGCCTTCGTTTTGTGATTCATGTCTATACTTATTAGTATGTATAGATGGAGTTAATGAAGGCAGTCAACTAGAAGACACACAGTCCACTAACAACCAACTTCATGTAATGAAGTCCTGAACCCACTACAAACTGTCAACATATCCAGCAAAATGATTCAGTTAGAGTTTCTCTCAAAACACAACTAAAGGATCCTTCCGGTTCATTACAGCTTGGGTGTTATTTTTGTAGTTTTTAACATCATTTATTTTTCTTATTACACCCTCACACTCACAGATGATCAGACAGGATGTAAACACTACTCAGACTTATCTGGAATATCTCAACTAGCAGTTCTCTGACGTATGTGACACTAGATGTTATTTTACACTATTAGTAATATAAAAGTGGATATTGTTACTATGACTTTGCTTACTGTATGCAAGCCTATGCTTTGATCAAGTTTGCATTTGTACTACAAGCACTTTAGTGGCAGCAGCTGGACATTTCTACCATTCATCCTTTACTTTTAGCTTTTAATTTAACTGGTTTTCACACTCTGTGTTAAGGTGCAATAACTGACTCAGGTTGCTCCTGTGCAGGCGTCATCCTTCATCCATTACTAGCTACTATGAATAATAATAATAATAATAATAATAATAATAATAATAATAATAATAATGATAATATAAAGTGTAGTAGTAGACAGCCAGTATCAGTTCGTAT